TCATTATTGGAAATTGCTATTAATTTACCTTTTTAATCACCGTTACAACTTGATTTATGTTGTGTTCACACACACAAAACGAAATTAAAACTATGTAATTATAAATAGTTGAGTAACAACGTATTTTTTAATACTTGTTTTTAAATGTAAACCTTTTAAGGTTTACATTTAGAGACAAATTACATGTAGGTTGGAGAGAATATTATAAATACACACAGGCTATTATACAAGATCTGTAACGCCTATCTTATAAAAACGTGAAATTTGGTTTGTGAAAGAATTTCTATTTTAAAGAAAATAGGTAACTGTAGACTGTATATTATTTTGTGAAATGTTGTCGCGATATAGACATAATAGTAAAAATCAAGAAAACGAGAAATAATAACGCATACGCTTCTGAAAGGGCTTCCGGATCCGTTCCGTACGTTTTGATTGGATGGTTGGAAAATGCCTAGACGGGTTTGAAAACGCCCACTAATTGGGAAACGCCTTCTTGTTGTTCCGCAGAGACGTCTATTTGCATTAGTCCGGCGTCCCAATGAAACACATTGAAAAACATAGAAAATAGTTGACCGATTAAAGCCAGTTTTTATTAAATGCTGATGCTTTTCTTACTACCAGCCGGTACATCGTATGAAAAAAATATTTTATTGTTGTATTTTTATATAATTTTTGTATATGTATATTTCTTGATGGGGGCGGCGCCCCAGCGCCCCCTATTGACAAGCCGCCACTGCTCAGAATTCGTAATTACAATTTTGTATGACTCTACATGAAGTTGAGCATGAATGAGGAAGTAAGCTGCATTACAGACACGCCTGTTTTACACACGTCACTCACACACAGAATCAGGAAACTACTTCAACTCCTCAGTTCAGAGAAACAGAAACTGAAGTGTTGTTGAGCTGTTGTGTGTTTGTGTCTCTCTGTATTCACGCTGTAAAATGGCTGAAGCCAGATTTTCTCAGGATGAGTTCACGTGTCCAGTGTGTCTGGATCTCCTGAAGGATCCAGTGGCCATTCCTCTGCGGACACAGTTACTGTAAGATCTGTATTTCTGGCTGCTGGGATCAGGAGGATGAGAAGAGAGTCTACAGCTGCCCTCAGTGCAGACAGACCTTCAGTCCAAGACCTGCTTTAGCTAAAAACACCATGCTAGCTGAAGTGGTGGAGAAACTGAAGAAGACTAAACTTCCTGCGGACTGTTACGCTGGAGCTGGAGACGTGGAGTGTGACGTCTGTACTGGAAGAAAACACAAAGCCGTCAAGTCCTGTCTGGTGTGTCAGGAGTCTTACTGTCAAACTCATTTAGACCGTCATGAGGAATATCACTCTCGTAAACCACACAAAGTGATTGATGCCACTGGACGACTGCAGGACATGATCTGCCGCAAACATGATAAAGAGCTAGAAATATTCTGTATCACTGATCAAGAATTACTCTGTGTGTGGTGTAAGGAGTATGAACACAAAAACCACAACACTGAATCAACTGCAGCGCAGAGGACAGAGAAACAGGTATGAGCTGAGAGAGATTGATCATGCAGAAATGAAAATGAAAGTGCTGTCTTCATTTACTCACTCATTTACTCATGTTGTCCAAAACCGGTTTGACTTTCTTCTCTGAAATGTAAAAGATGATGTTTTGAAGAATCTATTTTGGTCTATACATTCAAAGTCAATGGGGCACAAAAGTTTCAAGCTCCAAAAGGAGACAAAGTTAAAAGTAATTTAATCAACTCCATTGGTTTAAAAAAGTAGTGTGCTTAATTGTGTTGAAGGCGCACCTGTAGTGTACTTCAGATCTTAAAACATATTTTAAAGTCAACATTTGAATAAATTTAACCTGTAATACATTTTCATTTAATTGTAAATATTATGCAGTGTCTGAAAACATTACGTTCAGTTCACACTTCTGTTATTCTTTTAAATTATTATTTGTACAAGTATGCTAAGTGTCATTTTTTTCTCAACTAGGAGCCTCATCTCATGTAATCAACTCATGTATAGACCATTTCACAAGATGTAAACAACAGTGGTCCAGAAACACTTCCTGTTTCAGTTTGTAACTGTTTTCTTTATTTCACATGTAAAGAAAACATCTTAAAGATGTTTGTTTAACTTTTTGATTCGGTTTTATATGTTCTGTTGGTTGTATTTTATCCCAGCTTTTATGTAGTGTTAAAAAACTGAAACAGGAAGTGCTTCTGGACCAGTGTTGTTTACATCTTGTGAAATGGTCTATACGGAGCTTAAATTAAATATGTCATTATTGGTGTGTCCTCCAGAAACAGCTGAAGGAGACGCAGATGAAGATCCGTCAGAGAATCCAGCAGAGACAGAAAGATCTTCATCAGCTGAGAGAGGATGTGGAGTCTCATAAGGTGAGTCTGGAGAAGAAGAGAAGTGTGAGACGTCTCAGTTTGGACTCACTGAACTCACTGTGTGATTGTGTGTGTGTGTGTGTGTGTGTAACAGCGCTCTGCACACACAGCAGTGGAGGACAGTGAGAAGATCTTCACTGAGATCATCCGCTCCATTGAGAGAAGACGCTCTGAGGCGACACAGCGGATCAGAGATCAGGAAAAGACTGCAGTGAGTCGAGCTGAAGAACGACTGGAGCGACTGGAGCAGGAGATCAATGATCTGAAGAAGAGAGACGCTGAGCTGGAGCAGCTTTCACACACACAAGATCACATTCAGTTCCTGCAGGTAACAGAGATCTAGGAGAACTGGATCATAGTGGACTTGAGCAAGAGACTCACAGAGAAACATTTCAGGAGAGCAGAATGAGACCAACTTAAGCAGAGCAACAAAAACACGCTAAAGTTCAGATATTTGCATTTAATACAAACATTAAACTATTCCACATTCATATATTTGCAAATAACATGCAATCAAGTTTCTGAAAATATTTGCGCTTATATATTTAAAGTATATTATAAGTACGGTACTCTTTTTAAAAGTGAAATTTCTTTTTCACAAGGAGTGTAAGTGACAAATACTGGAGTTCAATGTTATAATGAATATGAGAAGAAAGTTTCTGATTGTGTGAAAGTGCTGGACTGAAGCGAGTCACTGAAGAGAAGTCGAGTCTACAAGAGCCGACAGATCTGATATAGTGAAGGTGATTGGCTGAAGTGTGGAGATGATGAGTTTTGATTTCTGTTTTCTGTAGAGTTTCCAGTCTCTCTCAGCTCCTCCTGAATCTACAGACAAACTCGACGTTTCCTTCGGTTCTCTCTCCTCTTTTGATGGCGTGAGAGAATCTGTCCGTCAGCTGAGAGACAAACTGGAGGATTTCTGGAAAGAGGAGATCAAGAAGATCTCAGACGGAGGTGAAGTCCTGCTGCTCCTTTATAAAGACGTGTGGAGAATGATCCCAAATCTGAACATGCAACAGTTTCTGAAATATTCCTATGATTTATAAAACATCCAGACGCACAAATAATTTTCCTAAATGAATCCCACTTTATAAATCACAGTTCATCTTTAATTCAAGTGCATCAACTCTACAGAACAGCCACAAACATCCCTTGATGGTTTAGAAGTAATATATACATATTTAATGTAGAATTGAAATTTAGGATTGAATCTGATTCGAGTGTTTTATAAATGAGGAATCTGGAGATGAATCTGTTCTCAGAAATGAGTTCTCCATCATCTAATATCAGATTAGAAATGGATCCGTCATTTCTCTTCTGTTTATTTCCACAGTCACATTCACCAACATGAATCCCAAGACCAGGAACGACTTCCTACAATGTAAGTCACTAAGAAACAAGCAGAAAAACTCACTGAAAGTGTTCATGTTCTTCCAGTAGAAGGAGAAATAAATCATGATAAAAGAGTTTAATAATTAAATGATGATTTGCACAGGATATCTGATCAGCTGTATTGAAACACTGATGATACATTGAACATTGAGTCATGAAGAGTTCAGAGACATTAAAAGATCAGACAGATTCATAATTCCTGATTCTGATGTGTTTCTTTCCATCAGATTCTCATCAGCTCTCTCTGGATCTGAACACAGTGAATAGACAACTCCTTCTGTCTGAGAGGAACAGAGTTATTACTTTATCTGACAGAGTCCAGCCGTATCCTGATCATCCAGACAGATTTGATCAGTGGTGGCAGGTGTTGTGTAGAGAGAGTGTGTGTGGACGCTGTTACTGGGAGATTGAGTGGAGTGGAGATGGTGTGTATATATCAGTGTCATATAATAGCATCAGCAGGAAGGGATCGGGTTATGAGTGTGGATTTGGATATAATGATCAGTCCTGGAGATTGAACTGCTCTTCCTCCAGAAACTCATTCATACACAATAACATAGAGACTGTTCTCCCTGTAAAGTCCATCAGCAGAAGAGTAGGAGTGTATGTGGATCACAGTTCAGGAACTCTGTCCTTCTACAGCGTCTCTGACACAATGAGCCTCATCCACACAGTCCAGACCACATTCACTCAGCCGCTCTATCCTGGGTTTAATGTTGGTTATAAATCATCAGTGAAACTGTGTTGATGTTTCAGAATAGACTGAGAGATTTTACCCATAATACTTTGAGCCGCATGATAAATCAGTAACAGTGAGATGTTTCAGAGTCTCTTATTTTCTCTTACATTTTCACATGATTTTTGTAAACCTCAAGATGTGAGTAAACAAGATACAACAATGTTAGAATTGCATCATCTACTATCTTATTGGACTAATAAGTGAACTGAAAATAATTGAATAATTGTTGAGTATCATTACACACCTTTATCAAGCCTTTCAAAGCATTTACACACCAGAGATGTTAGTGAGATTGGTAGTTAGTCATCAAGATCATGTGTTTGTTGATCTCAGGAACAGAATGATGTAAAATTGTGTTAGACCAGAGGCTTTCAAACCGGGAGTGACATGATCTGTGGGAAAGTTTTTTAAAAAAGCACTCAAATGATAATTTGGCTTATCCAATCCACCTAACCTGCAAACATTTAGAGATTACAGTATGACTTAATTATAAATGGTATCACAACATATTTATAAATGGAAACAAATCATGGAAGTTGAGTGATTTACACCATTCTCTACAGAGCGCTCACCGATCTCTATACTAGTATAGATAACACATAGATCAGTATTTTCACCCCTACAAACTCGTGTATCATCTAGAATTTAGTTTCTCATTAATAAATATGACTTTGCTCTGTTATTCATGAGCTCGAAATTCGTAATTACAATTTTTTATGACTCCACATGAAGTTGAGCATGAATGAGGAAGTAAGCTGCATTACAGACACGCCTGTTTTACACACGTCACTCACACACAGAATCAGGAAACTACTTCAACTCCTCAGTTCAGAGAAACAGAAACTGAAGTGTTGTTGAGCTGTTGTGTGTTTGTGTCTCTCTGTATTCACGCTGTAAAATGGCTGAAGCCAGATTTTCTCAGGATGAGTTCACGTGTCCAGTGTGTCTGGATCTCCTGAAGGATCCAGTGGCCATTCCCTGCGGACACAATTACTGTAAGATCTGTATTTCTGGCTGCTGGGATCAGGAGGATGAGAAGAGAGTCTACAGCTGCCCTCAGTGCAGACAAACCTTCAGTCCAAGACCTGCTTTAGCTAAAAACACCATGCTAGCTGAAGTGGTGGAGAAACTGAAGAAGACTAAACTTCCTGCGGACTGTTACGCTGGAGCTGGAGACGTGGAGTGTGACGTCTGTACTGGAAGAAAACACAAAGCCGTCAAGTCCTGTCTGGTGTGTCAGGAGTCTTACTGCCAAACTCATTTTGACCGTCATGAGGAATATCACTCTCGTAAACCACACAAAGTGGTTGATGCCACTGGACGACTGCAGGACATGATCTGCCGCAAACATGATAAAGAGCTAGAAATATTCTGTATCACTGATCAAGAATTACTCTGTGTGTGGTGTAAGGAGTATGAACATAAAAACCACAACACTGAATCAACTGCAGCGCAGAGGACAGAGAAACAGGTATGAGCTGAGAGAGATTGATCACAGAAATGAAAGTGCTGTCTTCATTTACTCATGTTGTCCAAATCCGGTTTGAAGAAAATATTTTGAAGAATGTCTCATCTAAGCCTAAACATTGAAAGTACAAAAGTGTCAAGCTCTAAAAAAGGAGACAAAGTTAAAAGTAATTTAATCAACTCCATTGGTTTAAAAAGTAGTGCGCTTAATGGTATTGAATGCGCACCTGTAGTGTACTTCAGATCTTTAACCACTCCATCAATTCTGGATTTATGTGACTTTAACTTTCTTTTGTGGTAGTAGTTTGATGTCATTATTGGTGTGTCCTCCAGAAACAGCTGAAGGAGACGCAGATGAAGATCCGTCAGAGAATCCAGCAGAGACAGAAAGATCTTCATCAGCTGAGAGAGGATGTGGAGTCTCATAAGGTGAGTCTGGAGAAGAAGAGAAGTGTGACACGTCTCAGTTTGGACTCACTGAACTCACTGTGTGATTGTGTGTGTGTGTGTGTGTGTGTGTGTGTGTGTGTGTGTGTGTGTGTAACAGCGCTTTGCACACACAGCAGTGGAGGACAGTGAGAAGATCTTCACTGAGATCATCCGCTCCATTGAGAGAAGACGCTCTGAGGCGACACAGCGGATCAGAGATCAGGAAAAGACTGCAGTGAGTCGAGCTGAAGAACGACTGGAGCGACTGGAGCAGGAGATCAATGATCTGAAGAAGAGAGACGCTGAGCTGGAGCAGCTTTCACACACACAAGATCACATTCAGTTCCTGCAGGTAACAGAGATCTAGGAGAACTGGATCATAGTGGACTTGAGCAAGAGACTCACAGAGAAACATTTCAGGAGAGCAGAATGAGACCAACTTAAGCAGAGCAACAAAAACACGCTAAAGTTCAGATATTTGCAATTAATACAAACATTAAACTATTCCACATTCATATATTTGCAAATAACATGCAATCAAGTTTCTGAAAAAATTTGCGCTTATATATTTAAAGTATATTATATGTACAGTACTCTTTTTAAAAGTGAACTTTCTTTTTCACAAGGAGTGTAAGTGACAAATACTGCAGTTTGTAAGATTAACGTTATAATGAACATGAGAAGAAAGTTTCTGATTGTGTGAAAGTGCTGGACTGAAGCGAGTCACTGAACAGAAGTCGAGTCTACAAGAGCCGACAGATCTGATATAGTGAAGGTGATTGGCTGAAGTGTGGAGATGATGAGTTTTGATTTCTGTTTTCTGTAGAGTTTCCAGTCTCTCTCAGCTCCTCCTGAATCTACAGACGAACTCGACGTTTCCTTCGGTTCTCTCTCCTCTTTTGATGGCGTGAGAGAATCTGTCCGTCAGCTGAGAGACAAACTGGAGGATTTCTGGAAAGAGGAGATCAAGAAGATCTCAGACGGAGGTGAAGTCCTGCTCCTCCTTTATAAAGACGTGTGGAGAATGATCCCAAATCTGAACATGCAACAGTTTCTGAAATGTTCCTATGATTTATAAAACATCCATACGCACAAATAATTTTCCTAAATGAATCCCACTTTATAAATCACAGTTCATCTTTAATTCGAGTGCATCAACTCTACAGAACAGCCACAAACATCCCTTGATGGTTTAGAAGTAATATATACATATTTAATGTAGAATTGAAATTTAGGATTGAATCTGATACGAGTGTTTTATAAATGAGGAATCTGGAGATGAATCTGTTTTCAGAAATGAGTTCTCCGTCATCTAATATCAGATTAGAAATGGATCCGTCATTTCTCTTCTGTTTATTTCCACAGTCACATTCACCAACATGAATCCCAAGACCAGGAACGACTTCCTACAATGTAAGTCACTAAGAAACAAGCAGAAAAACTCACTGAATGTGTTCATGTTCTTCCTGTAGAAGGAGAAATAAATCATGATAAAAGAGTTTAATAATTAAATGATGATTTGCACAGGATATCTGATCAGCTGTAATGAAACACTTATGATACATTGAACATTGAGTCATGAAGAGTTCAGAGACATTAAAAGATCAGACAGATTCATAATTCCTGATTCTGATGTGTTTCTCTCCATCAGATTCTCATCAGCTCTCTCTGGATCTGAACACAGTGAATAAATACATCAGTCTGTCTGAGAAGAACAGAGTAATTACTTACACTTTCCCAGAACTTCAGTCGTATCCTGATCATCCAGACAGATTTGATCGGTGGCGTCAGGTGTTGTGTAGAGAGAGTGTGTGTGGACGCTGTTACTGGGAGATTGAGTGGAGTGGGGATGGTGTGTTTATATCAGTGTCATATAAGATCATCAGCAGGAAGGGATTGGGTGATGAGTGTGTGTTTGGACGTAATGATCAGTCCTGGAGTTTGTTCTGCTCTTCCTCCAAAAACTCATTCAGGCACAATAACATAGAGACTGTTCTCCCTGTAAAGTCCATCAGCAGAAGAGTAGGAGTGTATGTGGATCACAGTGCAGGAACTCTGTCCTTCTACAGTGTCTCTGACACAATGAGCCTCATCCACACAGTCCAGACCACATTCACTCAGCCGCTCTATCCTGGGTTTAATGTTTGGTCTGGATCATCAGTGAAACTGTGTTGATGTTTCAGAATAGACTGAGAGATTTTACCCATAATACTTTGAGCCGCATGATAAATCAGTAACAGTGAGATGTTTCAGAGTCTCTTATTTTCTCTTACATTTTCACATGATTTTTGTAAACCTCAAGTTGTGAGTAAACAAGATACAACAATGTTAGAATTGCATCATCTACTATCTTATTGGACTAATAAGTGAATTGAAAAGGATTGAATAATTGTGGAGAATCATTACACACCTTTATCAAGCCTTTCAAAGCATTTACACACCAGAGATGTTAGTGAGATTGGTAGTTAGTCATCAAGATCATGTGTTTGTTGATCTCAGGAACAGAATGATGTAAAATTGTGTTAGACCAGAGGCTTTCAAACCGGGAGTGACATGATCTGTGGGAAAGTCTTTAAAAAAAACACTCAAATGATAATTTGCCATATCCAATCCACCTAACCTGCAAACATTTAGAGATTATATGACTTATTTATAAATGGTATCACAACATATTTATAAATGGAAACAAATCGTGTAAGTTGAGTGATTTACACCATTCTCTACAGAGCGCTCACTGATCTCTATACTAGTATAGATAACACATAGATCAGTATTTTCACCCCTACAAACTCGTGTATCATCTAGAATTTAGTTTCTCATTAATAAATATGACTTTGCTCTGTTATTCATGAGCTCGAAATTCGTAATTACAATTTTTTATGACTCCACATGAAGTTGAGCATGAATGAGGAAGTAAGCTGCATTACAGACACGCCTGTTTTACACACGTCACTCACACACAGAATCAGGAAACTACTTCAACTCCTCAGTTCAGAGAAAAAGAAACTGAAGTGTTGTTGAGCTGTTGTGTGTTTGTGTCTCTCTGTATTCACGCTGTAAAATGGCAGAAGCCAGAATTTCTCAGGATGAGTTCACGTGTCCAGTGTGTCTGGATCTCCTGAAGGATCCAGTGACTATCCTCTGCGGACACAATTACTGTAAGATCTGTATTTCTGGCTGCTGGGATCAGGAGGATGAGAAGAGAGTCTACAGCTGCCCTCAGTGCAGACAAACCTTCAGTCCAAGACCTGCTTTAGCTAAAAACACCATGCTAGCTGAAGTGGTGGAGAAACTGAAGAAGACTAAACTTCCTGCGGACTGTTACGCTGGAGCTGGAGATGTGGAGTGTGACGTCTGTACTGGAAGAAAACACAAAGCCGTCAAGTCCTGTCTGGTGTGTCAGGAGTCTTACTGTCAAACTCATTTAGACCGTCATGAGGAATATCACTCTCGTAAACCACACAAAGTGATTGATGCCACTGGACGACTGCAGGACATGATCTGCCGCAAACATGATAAAGAGCTAGAAATATTCTGTATCACTGATCAAGAATTACTCTGTGTGTGGTGTAAGGAGTATGAACATAAAAACCACAACACTGAATCAACTGCAGCGCAGAGGACAGAGAAACAGGTATGAGCTGAGAGAGATTGATCACACAAATGAAAGTGCTGTCTTCATTTACTCATGTTGTCCAAATCCGGTTTGAAGAAAATATTTTGAAGAATGTCTCATCTAAGCCTAAACATTGAAAGTACAAAAGTGTCAAGCTCTAAAAAAGGAGACAAAGTTAAAAGTAATTTAATCAACTCCATTGGTTTAAAAAGTAGTGCGCTTAATGGTATTGAATGCGCACCTGTAGTGTACTTCAGATCTTTAACCACTCCATCAATTCTGGATTTATGTGACTTTAACTTTCTTTTGTGGTAGTAGTTTGATGTCATTATTGGTGTGTCCTCCAGAAACAGCTGAAGGAGACGCAGATGAAGATCCGTCAGAGAATCCAGCAGAGACAGAAAGATCTTCATCAGCTGAGAGAGGATGTGGAGTCTCATAAGGTGAGTCTGGAGAAGAAGAGAAGTGTGACACGTCTCAGTTTGGACTCACTGAACTCACTGTGTGATTGTGTGTGTGTGTGTGTGTGTGTGTGTGTGTGTAACAGCGCTCTGCACACACAGCAGTGGAGGACAGTGAGAAGATCTTCACTGAGATCATCCGCTCCATTGAGAGAAGACGCTCTGAGGCGACACAGCGGATCAGAGATCAGGAAAAGACTGCAGTGAGTCGAGCTGAAGAACGACTGGAGCGACTGGAGCAGGAGATCAATGATCTGAAGAAGAGAGACGCTGAGCTGGAGCAGCTTTCACACACACAAGATCACATTCAGTTCCTGCAGGTAACAGAGATCTAGGAGAACTGGATCATAGTGGACTTGAGCAAGAGACTCACAGAGAAACATTTCAGGAGAGCAGAATGAGACCAACTTAAGCAGAGCAACAAAAACACGCTAAAGTTCAGATATTTGCATTTATAATTCATATGCAATCAAGTTTTTGAAAATATTTGCACTTATATATTTAAAGTATATTATTTCTGTTATAAGAACGGTACTCTTTTTAAAAGTGAACTTTCTTTTTCAACAAGGAGTGTAAGTGACAAATACTGGAGTTTGTAAGATTAACGTTATAATAAACATGAGAAGAAAGTTTCTGATTGTGTGAAAGTGCTGGACTGAAGCGAGTCACTGAAGAGAAGTCGAGTCTACAAGAGCCGACAGATCTGATATAGTGAAGGTGATTGGCTGAAGTGTGGAGATGTTTTGATTTCTGTTTTCTGTAGAGTTTCCAGTCTCTCTCAGCTCCTCCTGAATCTACAGACAAACTCGACGTTTCCTTCGGTTCTCTCTCCTCTTTTGATGGCGTGAGAGAATCTGTCCGTCAGCTGAGAGACAAACTGGAGGATTTCTGGAAAGAGGAGATCAAGAAGATCTCAGACGGAGGTAAAGTCCTGCTCCTCCTTTATAAAGACGTGTGGAGAATGATCCCAAATCTGAACATGCAACAGTTTCTGAAATGTTCCTATGATTTATAAAACATCCATACGCACAAATCATTTTCCCACTTTATAAATCACAGTTCATCTTTAATTCAAGTGCAACAACTCTACAGAACAGCCACAAACATCCCCTGATGATTTAGAAGTAATATATACATATTTAATGTAGAATTGAAATTTAGGATTGAATCTGATACGAGTGTTTTATAAATGAGGAATCTGGAGATTAATCTGTTCTCAGAAATGAGTTCTCCATCATCTAATATCAGATTAGAAATGGATCCATCATTTCTCTTCTGTTTATTTCCACAGTCACATTCACCAACATGAATCCCAAGACCAGGAACGACTTCCTACAATGTAAGTCACTAAGAAACAAGCAGAAAAACTGAAAAAAGATGATTTGCACAGGATATCTGATCAATAAAACACTGATGATACATTGAACATTGAGTCATGAAGAGTTCAGAGGTATTAAAAGATCAGACAGATTCATAATTCCTGATTCTGATGTGTTTCTCTCCATCAGATTCTCATCAGCTCTCTCCGGATCTGAACACAGTGTATAAACGCCTCCTTCTGTCTGAGAGGAACAGAGTTATTACTGACACTGACAGAGTCCAGCCGTATCCTGATCATCCAGACAGATTTGATTATTGGTCTCAGGTGTTATGTAGAGAGAGTGTGTGTGGACGCTGTTACTGGGAGATTGAGTGGAGTGGAAATTATGTGTTGATATCAGTGTCATATAAGAGCATCAGCAGGAAGGAATCGGGGAATGAGTCTGGATTTGGATATAATGATCAGTCCTGGAGTTTGTTCTGCTCTTCCTCCAGAAACTCATTCTGGCACAATAACATAGAGACTGTTCTCCCTGTAAAGTCCATCAGCAGAAGAGTAGGAGTGTATGTGGATCACAGTGCAGGAACTCTGTCCTTCTACAGCGTCTCTGACACAATGAGCCCCATCCACACAGTCCAGACCACATTCACTCAGCCGCTCTATCCTGGGTTTAATGTTTGGTCTGGATCATCAGTGAAACTGTGTTGATGTTTCAGAATAGACTGGGAGATTTTACCCATAATACTTTGAGCCGCATGATAAATCAGTAACTTAGTCTCTTATTTTCTCTTACATTTTCACATGATTTTTGTAAACAAGATGCAACAATGTTAGAATTGCATCATCTACAATCTTATTGGACTAATAAATGAATTGAAAAGGATTGAATAATTGTTGAGAATCATTACACACCTTTATCAAGCCTTTCAAAGCATTCACACACCAGAGAGGTTAGTGAGATTGGTAGTTAGTCATCAAGCTCTTGTGTTTGTTGATCTCAGGAACAGTATGATTGTAAAATTGTGTTAGACCAGAGGTTTTCACACGAGTGTTAAGCGAGTGACGGGTCTGTGGAAATGACTTTAAAAAAAGTGTAAAACAATAAACAAATAATACTAAAATAAATACATTTCAATAACATAAATAAAAATGTCATTAAAACAATTACAAATATTAGTTAGTTATTAATCTATTGAAAATATTAAAACATAAATAATAATACAAAAAATCCTTTAAAAAATACAGTATTAGTAAGTTGAAAATATATATGTTACTGTAGTGAAGTTTTTTCTTGCATGCAATAGACCAGGAGACTTTTTAGGTATCTTTCACGCTGAAGTTCTTTATTGCGTCGCTGTAGCCTTCTCAAAGATCTAACAAACTAACAAACTTTAGTTTGTCTAACAAACTAAAATACAGAACTATTCTTATACATTTAAAGATGCAGTCGGCAAGTCTGGCAGATTGAGTGGACTTCTGCAACATTTTGAATGTTTACAACTCTCATGCCCCTCCCCACTATCAACGAATACCATCCCAGAGAGTTCGTGCTCGTCAGTGCGTGTGCACCAGCTTTTCTGCGGACGCGCCCGTCTCATTAGTAATCCATCAATATTCTTCCAAAATGCCGAACTTTATTCCTTCATCTGGACATGTTTATACACCTAACGTTACGTTCACATGGATTTCAGTGCAAACAAAGCTAACGAACCTGCCCAACAAGTGCTAACGTAAGCTATCCATACCAACACATTTGGGCAAACATAGGCTACTTGGATTACTAACGTAACACTAAGACATAAAGTAACTGGTTGATAAAGCGCAATTACCTGTCGAGAAGAAATGTTGCAAGCTCTGCATCCAGCTTGAACCCAATTAAATCACGTAAATCTCCAACTTTCAAAATGCCGATCCGATTGCAACTTGCGCAAGGGGTGGCGTGTGCACGACCTGTGATTGACAAATCTCACACCCCCTTGCGCTGATTGGACCCGATGAACCTGGAGCGGTAGATTTTTGCAACAAAAAAAAAACAAAAAAAACACGCTCCAGGTGGAGTTAGAAGCTCGAGTTGGAATGGCTTTCTCCATTTAAAACATTAAATTAAACATGTTAAAGAAAATTGATAACACCACATTTCCCCCTTTGAGAGTACTAATAGCTCTCACATAATGTACACATTTAAACACTTAAGAAAGTTAATTCTTGTAGTTACAGGCACATAAACTCATGTTCTGTGTTTGCTTTTTCTGCAATTGCATGCTGACACAGAAAACAAAACATGCAATTAGGGTCCGTGAAGTTCTTACGGATAATAATCTTTTCTGGTTGGAACTGTGATCAGTCATCTGCTTTAATTTAGTTGAAAGATCAAGAATCTCTTGGACCATCATGTTTGTGCACAAGTGAGTCCTGGTATGCAGCCATCTTCGGGTGTGGCCTGCAACGTTTCCAGCAAACAAGGATTCT